TTATTATATTACAGAGACACAGTTTTTTTCTTTCTTTCTTTTTTTTTTCTTTTGCAAAATATTTCTCACTGATGTGGACAGGCCCCCAGCTGCCGTGTGCCAATGTGGATTTTACCAAAGGACCACTGCCAAGCCTCCTGGACATGGGTGGTTTTGTTGAGAGACTCACAAGCTCAAGTGTATACCAGAATAACAGAAGACAGAGTGTCACGGAGAAGGAAGGATTCTGAGATTTGAAGGCCCAGATGGTATTACACACCTATCATCTCAGCAAGTAGATAAAAAGAATTTCGATACAAGTTCGGGATCAGCAAATCACATGCTCATAGGGACACACACACACACACACACACACACACACACACACACACACACCACGCACGTGGATTCCAGGCCTTCCCCTCCTGATCTAATCTACAATCAGATCTCAAAGCTCTATGTTTTAACTTCAAATTCCAGTGATTGTGTTGGAAGTGGTCCCTGCCTGTTTTTTGAGAGAATGAGATAACTTTGCTTTCAGGGCTGGGCCCTTGGTATTGTAAAGCTCTTCCAGGAGTGCCCTGGGAATCAGCAGCTTCCGACAGGCCTGTGATCCATGCTTACTAACACAGAGAAATAATCACGGGGAATAAGCAAGGCCCACACAGTTCCTTCATCACGCTTCTGTGGAAGAAGAAATGCCAGGAGGACACTCCATTTCCTTCCTGCCTAAGACTCTTCTGGCAAGATAGGTACAGACTCCACAGCAAAGGGTCCTTGGTGTAAGATTATCTGTTTCCTTTGTATCCTGTAAGCTGTTTGATCATAGAAGCATGGAGAAAGAATGACTTGGTGAGGCAGAGGTAGGCAGACACTGTCTTCATAGGCTAATTGTGTGGAGGGTGTATAAAGTGTCCTGGGTGGCAGTGGGCCTTAAGGAGTTTACGTAGATGCTGCAGAGAACTGGAGATCAGTTCAAGGCAAAGAAATTGCCAAGGCTGCTGGAAATGAAGTGGGATCCGTGGTTTGGTGTTGAGTGCTTTACCGTGTGAGACCAGGGTAAAGGGGCTATGTTAATTCTCAGCTGATTTGTGTCTCTCACACTAAATGACGAAACCCAGGGTAAAGAGTCTTGGGCTTGGAATCAAGCCTATGTGCAAACACAAGATTCCTCACTTACTATGTGACTCTGGGAGTGTATTTTACCCTTTGTAGGTTAATGAGATGATCAAACAGACGGTTCATGTCAAGGACCTGGCACTGTATGGTGTTTGAAGTGAAATCTGATGGTTTATTTTAAAGGTGCCTCGAGCCAGCTTAGGCCCAGTTACAAATGGACAGAAAATGTTAGACTCTGCTAATGCCAGTTGGTCTAACCCTTCACTCCCCTAAACTCAGCTAAACTACCAACCCCGCCCACACTAGAAGTTTAGAATAGAATATTACTCACAGCCAAGCTTGTCTGAAAGGTCATCTGTTGGCTAAGCTTTAAGATAAACAGGGTATAAAATGCAGAGATGAAGTCCATATCTACATTTTTTTCTTTTTCTTTCTTTCTTTTTTTTTTTTTTTTTTTTTTGCTGTCACTGAGAAAAAAAGGTAAGTGTAATGGACAGAAAGATAAGATGGTGCCAAGTTGTACTCTCCTGACTACTAAACAAAGGGAGGAAGGGCCATGCTGTTACATTTTATAGAAGTTGCTCTCTGCCTACAGCTGCAAGGCTGCCATTCTTGGCCGATGACTGACTTTGCAAGGTCATAATATAAACTGCCTGCTACTCCTGGTCTCCCCTGTTCTTGTGATGAACTAAAAGTGTGTTTACTGTGACGGAAGGAACATTGTTTCTCATGATAGGAACTTGTGTGTATTTTCTGTTTCCTCTTTCGTCTGTGTTTAGTGACGTTTTAGGATCCAGGAAAAGAAGGATGAGTAAGACCTGTGTCTCCTCAGACGGTCATGGTTGGAGACAGCTAGACGGCACGGAGTCCGGAGTGTATACAGAGATGAACGCAGGAGTAAGGGCTGGCGCTCGCAGCTTTCCCTGGGAGATGATGCTTTCTATGAACTTGAACTCTTGATGCTGTCATTTGACTTCTTATGGACTGCGCTGGACTCTTTTCTCACTCAGAATAGCAAGTCATCTTTGCAAAATGTTAAGGGTTTAGGAGCAATCAGGCTACAAGTCAATTCCCCTTAGTTCGATTTTTCTTTGAACCCAATAACCCAGCAATCATTTGGGCATCTTTTGATCTAGGAGTGGGTGGCAGGGCATAGTACCTTAGACTGTAGAGTTAACAGGACAGTTCTTACCCACAGTTTGTCTGCAGAAACAGGCAGACATTGGTATATACAGGGACTCATAGAACTTCAATGTCCATTCCAACCAAAAATGTCTTCTCATTCTTCTACATTATTATTATGTCTACCTTGGGCAATAAAGCTTATTTTGGCCTGCATGGCATTCCCTTATCTAGTGATTCCGAGCACACAATAGACCTTTCTCTTTCATGCTCTAATTTTAAAACTTTATTCTCAGAATTGTAGAATGGTGATTTTCAAACTGTAAAGTTTAAAATCAAATATATACATATATAAGTATATATATTTTTTACATACATGTCCAACTATTATTAACTAATTTCTCAAGGCATTATATATATCACCGGCAAGACAAACATTAATGTTTAAAACATTTGTATATTAAATTATTTTGATAATTGCAATTTGGGGAGTCACTTCATTGTCACATGGTGTGGCATGTGTTTCTTTGCATTATCTTTGAAAAAGATATGATTAAAAGAGTCTCTGATGATGTATTTTTTCTCCAAAAGGAATTTTATATTTTTTTCTCCAAAAGGATTTTTGTATTTATTTACTTATTTATTTATTCATTCATTTATTTTTTTCATTTTTCTTTATTAAGAAATTTTCTACTCACTCTACATACCACCCACAGATCCCACCTCCTCCCTCCTCCCACCCCCCAGCCCTCTCTCCCAAGCCACCCCACATCCCCTAAATCAAGGTCTCCCATGGGGAGTCAGCAGAGCCCGGCACACTGAGCCTAGGCAGGTCCAAGCCCCTTCCCACTGCACCAAGGCTGCGCAAGGCATCACACCACAGGCACCAGATTCCCAGAAGCCTGCCCATGTACCAGGGATGGATCTCAGTCCCTCTGCCTGGGTGCCCCCCAAACAGTTTGAGGCAACTGTCTTCCTTATCCAGAGATTTTCTATTCATTCTACATATCAACCACAGATTCCCCTGCCTTCCCTCCTCCCACCCCCCAGTCTTCCCCCCCAACCCACCCCTCACTCCTACCTCCTCCAAGGCAAGGTCTCCCATGGGGAGTCGGCAGAGCCTAGCACATTCAGTTGAGGCAGGTCCAAGCCCCTCCTCCCTGCACCAAGGCTGTGCAAAGTGCTGATGTATTTTTGTATGCTTATTAGATTGCATTATTGCAAATAGTATCCTCACCCCACAGTCTTACGTGATACTCCATTTTGTGAGAGCCAGCTTAGTTAAAACTAGCTACTTCTAGGCCTTTTCTAAAGTTACTTCACAGAATGAATGCCTCAGGCACCCAAAGTGAAGGGAAGGCGGCTGTGTACCTCACTGCTCTGTGAACTTTCCTGCTTCATTTAGGACACTTCACACACCCCACCTTGTAACTAGAGTTTTTCTCTCCGGGTCCCGCCAAGTCCCGGCAGTCCCGTAGCCCACTTATAAAATAAACATACAGACGCTTATATTATTTAAACTGCTTGGCCATTAGCTCAGGCCTACCATTGTCTAGCTCTTACTCTTATACTCAGCCCATTTCTGTTCATCTATATGTCGCCATGTGTTCCATGGCTTTACCTGCTGCCTCTACATGATGCTGCCTGGACAGCACACTGGCGTCTCCTCCTCTCCACCTTCCTGTTCTCTCAATTTTCCTCTCTGCTAGTCCCACCTATACTTCCTGCCTGGCTACTGGCCAATCAGTGTTTTATTTATACAGAGCGATATCCACAGCACCACCTGTCCTATGAACCTGGCTGTCTGACATGCAAGCATAATGATCATAAAGTTCATCTGTAGGATATTGGTAGAACCCATTTTTCCCCTCTGGCAGCCAGAGAGTTCTCTACCCTGAGACTCCTTCTCTAGTAGAATTTCAGCAAACAATTAGAAATGTGAAGCACTGAAGTCTCATTCACTTTTCATTGTGAAAGTTCAGAAACTTCTACTTGGTATAACCATTAAAGACAAATTTCATAGCTTAGAAAATAGTTTTAGAGTCTGAACGCACTTTGTTGGGGGATGTGTAAGAGGGGAGTAAAGGAGGAAAAAAAGATGCATTTGCTCAACTCACTTTCAGAAGAAGAAAAAGAAAAAGAGAAGGGAAGAAAAGAAAAGAGAAGAGCTTTGTTCATCAATGATTGACATGAACCAGATGCTTTTTTTTAATTAAAATAAACATGATAGTCTTGCCATTTAGTCTATATATAAGAACTAAAAAAAAATCTATATTTCCACAAAAGAATGCTATTCTATATATTCTTTGATCCCTTTTTATCCTTTCTGGAACACATCTAAAACAAACATTTTAATCTTTTTACTATGAACTTTTTACTGTCCGGTTGAAAACCATGAATATCTTTTCAGATAACTTTTAAAAGCATAAATAACGTATGTTGAATTGTAAAGGAGATCTGTAATATTGAAGTATTCAAAAACATCTAATACACGATATATTAATAGATTTGTTCATTTACAAATGCATTAAATAATAAGATGTGGCCAAGTGGTGGTGACACATGCCTTTAATCCCAGCACTTGGGAGGCAGAGCCTGGTGGATCTCTGTGAGTTCGAGGCCAGCCTGGGCTACAGAGTGAGATCCAGGAAAGGTGCAAAGCTACACAGAGAAACCCTGTCTTGAAAAACCAAAAATAAAATAAAATAAAAATAAGATGTGGCAGCACTTCTATGAGAATTTCAAAGCATTGACAAATATAAACAAATGTAAATGTGATATTTGATAACTATAATATGATTTAATATCCCTAACTCTTACTGTTGACATCACCAGTTCTGCAATGACTAGTTGATTATATTTTTATAATAAAATAAAATACTGGATATAACATCCTATAGGAGTAGAGTTATAAAAAAATTTTCCACACTATTTCATTTATTCATGAATATCACTCAGGCCAGGAATCTTCTAGAATGAGGTTCCCAGAACATGCCATACTGTTTCTAACAGGCATCTTGCTTCCTCAGTACTGAACAAAGGGACTTTGAGGGAATGTAATAGTCTTCTGCCTTCCAGAAGGTGTCGGGCTTGTGTTCCTGAAGAATAAATTCTCTGGATCAAACAAAACTTAAGTGTCTTGCCTCCATTTCAAGAAGTCTGAGTCACCGAAATTTAGGTGGAAATGCCTCCAAAGAGAAATAAAGGATTCAAGGAAACAGACTTACAAGAGGTTAAGAAGGGGCCGTTCAAATAAAGAAATGCTATGGCCAAGAGTTGTCAGAAGAAATTAACTCGTTCTCCAGTCCCCCCAGTCTCAAACAGGATGAATGTCATCCTCACAGATCAGATGCCATGAAATTTCTGAAACTGCATCATGGATGACACGTGTGGGAAGGTGGAGGAGAATTTATCTTCTCATGTAAAGGGCAGGATTATGGACCAAAGAGACACTGGAAATATAGGTAATGAGTAAAGGCTTTTGATACAAAGCAGGGGTTTGACTATGGTTCTTTTATCTGGGTGGTATCCTCATAATTCGTCCAACTTTCCTGGAGATCAAAGAATTCATTGGAAAGCCTATGCATTGTAGATGTTTCCGATAGCTGTCACTGTTCTTATATGGACTGTATGAGATACCGACCTGTCTGAGTCATGTGCTTAATTTTTCGTTGGATTTTCTTTTATCAAAGATTATTCAAAAATAGATTGATTCTGTCTACAGTGAGTTACTTCTCTTTCCCTTTGCTTTTCAGATTATAACTTTGTATTGATCCTCATTTGAAAGTGATATTTTTAATAATCTTCATTGTTGTGAAGATTAATGGTTCCCCCCAACACATACACAGGATGAACAGCAAATGCAGTCATTAATAAAAGCTTGCTTTTGCTAATGGAATAAATCAGAAAGTGACATATGTCAAGTTCAAGGAGATTTATTAACTGCTGGTTGATTTTTCCATCCCTTTCCTCTTCTCTGCCTTAAAAGTAAAACATCTCAGATCAGAACTGCTCTTTACTGATTGAATTCTAAAGTGGCTCCTATTCCAAACATCTCTTACTGACTAAAATAATATACCCAGATAACAATTTTTGCTAAAATGTAAAACTAAAAATAGTTACCTTAAGAAAAGATTTAGGGATCAAGTGATGGCTCAGAGACGAAGAGAACTGACTGCTCTTTCAGAGGACCACTCTGGTTTAAATCCAGTTCTCACATGGTGGCTCACAACTGTCTATTACTCCAGTTTCAAGAGAGTCGATATCCCCTTCTGGTTTCCATGGACACTGAACACATGTGGTGCACAGACATGCATTCAGGCAAAACACCTATATACGTAAAAACAAATAAAGGAAGGAAGAAAGAAAGAAAAGATATGACTATCAAAAGATATGACATATCAAAAGAGATAAAACTAACTCTCTTATGCCAGTTCAGTGCTGATGTTCTAAGAAACAATGGAAGGTGACTGGGTAGACATGAAGAGGACTGTGGGGATGGTGTATTCAGTTTTTGCCCTAGATGGACAGATGGTTGTTCATGTTGTGGTTAACTCACATATGCTAGTTATGTATTTGTGTATTTTCTATGTGTAGCTAGAGTTGTCCTGGTCCTGCCTGGCCCACAGTCAGGACAAATCTCTCTCACCCACCAGTCCTGCAGCTGCTCAGACCCAACCAAGTAAACACATAGAGACTTATATTACTTAAACTGTTTGGCCTAATGGCTCAGGCTCCTTGCTAGCTGTTCTTATATCTTAAATTGACCCATTTCTATTAATCTATAAGTTGCCACGTGGCTCGTGGCTTACTGATATCTTAACATCTTCTCATGGTGGTGGCTGGCAGCGTCTCTGTGACTTAGCCTTCCACTTCCCAGAATTCTCCTCTCTCCTTGTCCCACCTATACTTCCTGTCTGGCTACTGGCCAATCAGTGTTTTATTTGTTAACCAATCAGAGCAACACATTTAACATACAGAACATCCCACAGCATCTATGTGCTCATGGTACTTCACAATAAAATATTTTAAACATGTGATAACCATAGCCATAGCCTCATTAAGACTCATAGAAGTTTGATGACCATTTGTTGTGTAGCAGAAAAACTCTATGTCATCTTTCTCAGTATTATTGGCTAGAAAGCAAACACATTCAATTTAGCACATTTTTAAAATAAACATCATACCGGGAGAAAATGACACTACCTATGTAATTATATAATGATATAATTATGTAGTATAATAATAATTACACATTACATAATTAAGTAGTCATGTAAATAATTAACAACAGCTATAATAAGTACTATGAAGTATAAGGTTCTGGGCATGTTTTTCTGTCAGGCTATTATCAGTTCACAGAAGGACAACAGTCTACTGTATTACAATCCCAGTCTTGAAGAAAAAAGACAGAATAACCAATTTATTAATAAAATTATTTGTAAGTAAATTAATAAATGAACAACTCCAGAGGCAAAGCCAGTTTTACCACAATAAGACTGTAAAAAAAAAAAAGAAAATCTTTATTCTTCCTTTGCCCTGACCATTGCCTCCATTGTCTCACAAGTCACCCAGTTTGGGTAGAATTCCTGACACTTTGGAGGGCCTTACTTTGATCTTCAAATCTCTTATAGCTCTCTTTTCACACAAACCATTTTAGTCAAAGCTTCAGGCTTTGCCCTCAACAATGACATATTTCTGTCCATAATCAACAGGAGTATGACCTTTAGAATTCTTTCTCAATCTGAACTCAGTTACCTCTTCACTTTTAGAGCATATCTGCAAGGCTGTGTAATTCTGTGACACAGATAGATGGACCTTGTGGGCTCTGGCGGCCCAAAGAAATGAAAGAACACAGAGGGAAATGGATTGTGCTACCCACCTCCCCAAGTCAGCGAAGTACATATTCCTCAAGCCTATCCCCTACCAAACAAGAACCTTAAAAAGAAAAACAACAATCAGACCAAAGATGCTAAATTAATGTGGTTGAGTCCATGACACTCTATGTGAAAGACTGCATTCCTAATTTCCTTTCAGCTAGCTATGCTCATGTGTTAAAACACTGGCCAGTGAGGTGAGAATAATTACACACGAAACATACAGACTACAATAAGAAAGCATCATGGTCCTCCTCACCCCATTTCATTTCTAACATCTGCCCATTGAGATGTGGGTATTATGGCAGAATAAGACAATACTCAATGGCTGGCAACATAACAAAAGAAGTCTGGGACCTTGACAGCTTGTCGAAGACTAGCTGCCTTACCAGTACTGGTTTTGATAAAGGAAAAAATTCTATTATTAGTCCTTGTTCTTTTCAGTCTTTGAAACACAAAGCCAAACCGTGTTTCAACTGGCACAGAGGTCATCTGACTTAGTGGTCCTCACCATTAGACAGGAGGTGTGGTTGTTTCCCAGGAAATATTTGGTAATGTGTGGAGACATTTTTGGTTGTTGTACATGAAGAGAATGTGGAATATACTGCACCTCTCTACCCAGGAACACTGCCAAACACCCAAAAGCCAAGGCAGCCTCCTTATAAGAAAAGAATTGTGCTGCCCCAAATACCAACATCTCTGAGGTTGGTAAGCCACTGAGGCAACCCTAAGATCTGAAGAGATTATCAGGCTGTGGTGACATACAGGTGATTGTGGCTAAGGCCATTGCTCAAGCTAGGCCATTGCTGTTGTTTTAACCATACTATTTTACTAGTTGCAAAAAGATCTACTTTATGTTTGATATTTAAGTCACTCTTCGTGTATCTAGAGTCCGCAGTGCTTCGTCACCAGACTTTTGCTGAACAGCTATTTAATATAAATCTCTAGGCTGGCTTCCAGTCTTAAATCTAGTTGAAGAACTCAAGCATATATGACAAGGGAAGACAAGGAGTGTAATGGAGCAAAGGGCAGTGCCTAGAGGAATGTTGCTGCAGATGTCAAGAGGAAGGAGACGTTAGAGGGCTCTGAGGGGAAGAATATTGGCCACAGAACTGGGTTTTTAGGTAAGGGACTTCAGCTTTGACTGTAATATGAACATCAAAACCTTTACCTGGGCCATATGAATTACTAAGCATGTCCCCTAGGCACAAGTTCCTCCCCTAGGTGTTTGTAATGGACATTTGCTAGGCTAAACTGCTCTACATCACTTTGTTCTTTTGTCATAGGGGTAGCAACCTGCTTTGTCTTTGCAAAGCATCTCTTCCTAGTGGTTGACCATATTGGGAATTGCAGTCTCACCTTTTATTATATATATTCTCTACTTGTTTTTTGAGATCCTTTCTCTGTCTACCTGGTCTATGTAGATGAGATATGGTGTCCCATACCCTCTGGCTTTCACTTGGATTCAGCTATTGGGTCAGTGATTGGAGAAACAGAATCAGTTAGGAATATTTCTCAAGGGTGACTGCTCTGTTGTTTGGGAGACAGTTGGCTGTGTTCTACTGAAAGGCGTGGCTTCTATCAAGAGGGCTTTCTGTTTGGCTACCTCTTGTCTTTCTAGGAATCACTTGTATCACTGGCCCTTCTGAATTCCTGTTCTTGTTGGTCTTAGTGCTCCGTGGTTGGCTTCCTTGATCTCCACCAGACCATTGTATGTGCTCTCATTATTGTACCCTCTTAAAATTCTTCAGCTGAGTGCATGCTATCTGTTTAATGCTGTGAATTTGATGGATCCTAAAGCCTATCCACAACCACAAAAGTGAGTTGACATCCTAGTATTTTGTGGACTTGGTGTAAGAGTTGCTTCATAGACTGGGTGTCTGGTGCAAAACAGAAGTATTTGAGCCCTTCCCTGGGGTTTTGAGGAAGAAAATAGATGCTGTGGAACAATCTTTTTGTACACTGAGAATATTTATTGCTCTCATTGTTAATAAAGAGCTGACTGGCCAATAGCTAGGCAGGATTTTTATGCAGAGAGAACTCTGAGAAGAAGAAAGGTGGAGTCAGGAGACACTTCCTCCTGGCACTGAGAGAAACAAGATGAACATGCCATGCTGAAAAAAGGTACTGCCATATGGTAGAGCATAGATAAGAAATATGGGTTATTTTAAGTTGTAAGAGCTAGTTAGTAACAAGCCTAAGCTATTGGCCAAGCATTTACAATTTATATTAAGTCTCTGTGTGGTTACTGGGGAGCCAGCAGTCCTGATGAAAAACTCTATCTACAAGCAGATGTAGAATCACTTCCTTCCAGGTCATTAACTTGTTCTGTCAATGCCAGTTGCCCTCCCACAGAGAGAAAGCCCAAGTTTATTGGGATAGGACAAAAGATGAAATCAGTCTAGACTGAAGCAGAGATAGAGACCTGAGAACATCATTTGAATCTCTGGTCTGGTCACTTGTAGACTTTGTAGTTGAGTGGATCAATAAGGTTTGCTCAGTTTGGTTTTCTTCTAAATATTTGGGATAAACTTAATTTTAGAAAGTGAGTCTGTAATGGGAGGGATTTGAGGTACCTTGGAGGTGGTGATGGTGGTGGTGGGTGTTCCCTTGTTTGGTAAGAGATCTGGGAAGGTCTTGAAAAGACAAATTGTGCATTCATTTGCAATTCCAGATCACAGTTATGTTAACCTTCATTGCTGGAGGCAAAATGGAAGAAATCTATGTACCACAGAAAAGTGGTTTTGGTTTTTCGAAACAGGGTTTCTCTGTGTAGCTTTGCGCCTTTCCTGGAACTCACTTGGTAGCCCAGGCTGGCTTCGAACTCACAGAGATCCGCCTGCCTCTGCCTCCCGAGTGCTGGGATTAAAGGCGTGCGCCACCACCGCCCGGCTAACAATTCAACTTTTAAGGGGATGCTTCATTGCCAAACCACAACAGCAATCATTTCTTATAACACAACTAAGCATCCTGACCAGATATGGAGGCAAGCTGGTGATGGCTTCAGACAGAATCTGGAATGTTCGCTCAAGACCATGCAGATTACACTGGCTGCCATGTGCTTCTGCTCTGGAACTGTCCTGGATGTGCTACAAGGATGGCCCTGGAACTACCTCCTCCCATCTACTCAACTTCAGGGAGCCCCATTAGTAAAGTAACACAGAAAGGTCTAGATGATTCATAGCTGCCCATGGAAAAATAGTAGAAAAATATGACACTTCACAAAATCTCCAAAGACCAACCAAGATGGCAGCCCCAGCAGAGCAAGAATTCATCATCTGGATTCTATTCTTGTGCCATTCTCCTCCCTTTGGAAAAACTTCCTTTTTTACAGTTTTGTCTCAAACTGGTGCTTCCATTAGTCCTTGAACAGACTGTTGCAATCCCTAGATGCATAGCTCTCCTATTCTCTGTGATAAGCACACAAATGTGATTCGGTGGTGACCCTCTCAG